TGCTCACTGACCGAAGCCAGTGATGCCTAACAATGGTGATCTACTGGGAAACGTATCTTTGTGGGACACAATGCATAAGTAAAAAGTGTGGAATAAAGTTTGATGCTGCTATTCACATTTCTTTTTCGATTTTTATTTTTGAGTGGTAGATATTTTGATTTACGTCGCACTAGAGCTGCTCAATGGGCTTTTGTTCGACCGTGTGGGAAACATCCCTGAGGATGATCCGAAGACATGTCACTGCAATTTTAATCCTCTTGCAGAGGGGATGGCTCATATGCTTTGGTAGACCGACGACATGAGCGCGATGTCAAGCGAAAATACAAAAAATAATTAGGTCCATAATTTTTTATACGATTTTATCTTAGCGAAACTGTGTGTTGACACACTTCTTGTTAACCCATCACTCCCCCCCCCCCTCCCGTTGGAANCCGTTGGAAACTGTCACAATTACACGAACTTAACAGAAGATTCTTAATGGCTAATGTTTCCCCAAAACGAAGTTGATTTATTTATTTTTAAAAAATATGTAATGACTTTTAAAATTTCCGCATCATTTTTGAACACAGTAGTTCTTGAAAATTTTATTCATTACTTCATTTAGCTCAAAAATTGTCACTCTTATAATATATATATAAATAAATCAGTAAATAAAATTTAAGACATCAAGATCTTCAATTTCCTTTATTCCCACTTTAAAAAATGAATCCTATTTAAATAATGGTGATTTTTTTTTTTGTAGTGGTGTCCTTAGCAAAGTTGTCGATACACAAAATCATAAACATCTCATTTATAGAAGAAGAAAAAATTAGAGTTTTATGATACATAGTAATGAGGTCCGTTTAATTACTCCTTGCTACTAGAGATGAGACCAGACTCACATTTGGAGGTCCTAGCCTACACACTATTTTAATTCAAGAAGAATTTTAATCCAAGCAATTATTGGAATCGGAAGAAATTCCGATTCCAGTAATTTCGCCATAGTCATACATGTAGTGTGTGATTTTGCAATGAAATACAATAAGACAGATTATCTGTTGACAAATCTAGGCTATTTTTTGAAGTTTTTGCATAATTTCAATTAGGAAAGAAGGTACTTTATACGCTGCAATAATAGGCTATTGGCAATGGCATTTCACTTAGTTAGTTGCTGTGAGTGATGCTGAGTCATATTTCTTAACATTATCAGGGATTACATCAGCTTCTTTTCGTGAATATCATGATTCGGAATGTGTTTTAGTGATTCATCTTTGTTCACCACTTAAATTTTCTAAAAAAGGGGAGAGAAAAAAAATCAATAAAATATTTAACCAAAGTGAATAATTGGAATAAGCTTTTAAAGCTGACATAGTCAACCTACAAATTTCACCCTTAATAACCTAATAGTATGAAATCTGTCAAAAACTATTTCTGTCTGAAAAGTTCTGCAAGTGAATTTTTTTAACTTGAAATGAATTTTTAAGCTACAGACATAATCCAACAGTCACGAGAGTTTAGTCTTCAAGGAACAAATCTCATGCAAAAGTTGCAGAAAGTGTGTTATCAGGGCACTGTTTTTATTCATGTTGATTTATGTTTAAAATCAGACATCTCAGGTCTGGAATGTTGAAAGTAAGTTCCATTGAAAAGTTTCAGTACAACTCCTTGCATCCAAAAATTAGCAGGGGAAAAAAATCACTTCTACCACTTAAAACAAAACTTAACACACACTAGTTTGTTGTAATACTAAGACTTTTTTCTATTAGTTCATCCATAAACTTATTTTGCTAAAATTACTTTATGATCATAAAAAGAAAAAAAAATTAAATTTTATCAAAAATTTTTATATGCTTTCTTGAACACATTTTAGGAATTTAGATATATACACATACAAACAGCAAAAAAAAAAAAAAATCATTTCCAATCAATAGTCCAAAATGATTCATGTTTAAGAATCCACATATAAGTTTTAAATATTTCAGAGAATCTATATCAATATTTATCAACTAAATCAATATTATACTTAAAATAACTGACCTTTCAGATATTTTAAGTATATACGAAGTTTAGAGAAGTTTGACTCTCATGTTTTCCTCAAACATTTTAATAAAAAACCTTCTTTAAGACACTATGATAAAATTGCATAACAGAGAATGTCTCGAAGCAAATTAATTGTAGCCAGAATTATGACTTACTCATACAGATAATTAATATTCATTAAATCATAAATTGGGCACTTTTTGAATTTTCTCAGCAAATATTTTAAGACCCAGTCTTCTGTTGCAAATCACTCAGAATATTAAAAAGCGCAAAATGAATTGAAAAATTAGAGTAATAATTATTTAGAGCACCAAATACTTACATAGATTTAAAAAGAGCAATAAATTTATTAAGTACTAAAGTTTCTTTTACCCTTGAAACTGCAATGTTATATTACAATTTTTTTTTTTTTAAATTCTTTAAATAAATCCATTATACATTTAAGAGTAAAACAACAATAATCTACAAATCCAAAACTAATACACAATATTTTTTTAAACATAATGAAAAACTAGGTAAAATTACTCAAGTAAAAAAATTTATTATACATTTCCTGTACAATAAGTAATGATAAATATTGTATTAAATAAACCTAATGTATTTACAAATTAGAAAAATCAGTAATTATGTTGGCATAATTTGCAGTTAGAAAAAACCAAACTTATTGTTTTGAATAGATTTAAATGAAAAAATTTTGTACAATGTCACATTGTAAATGATATACATTTGTACAGTTCGTGATTGAAGAAGGTGAATAAAATAAGTCAGCTTTTTATGAAACACTACGTGGCAGTTGGTGGACTTAGCACATTTACTTTTCCTCTGCAAGGCCTCAAAATTTTAAAAATCATCATCAGAGTCAACAGCAGCTCGTCGTCGATCAAACTAAATGCATGAAAAAATTTATTAGTCTTACATGAATATTTATGGCTAAATTATTAAAAGCTTATGAACTTACATAACAAAAAAAAATTCAAATTACAAGGAAATATGAAGATTGACAGACAAATTAATGCAGAGTGATTACAAGATTAAAAAAAATATATATANATTTAGCTCAAAAATTGTCACTCTTATAATATATATATAAATAAATCAGTAAATAAAATTTAAGACATCAAGATCTTCAATTTCCTTTAGTCCCACTTTAAAAAATGAATCCTATTTAAATAATGGTGTTTTTTTTTTTTTTGTAGTGGTGTCTTTAGCAAAGTTGTCGATACACAAAATCATATACATCTCATTTATATAAAAAAAAATTTTAGAGTTTTATGATACATAGTAATGAGTTCTGTTTAATTACTCCTTGCTACTAGAGATGAGACCAGACTCACATTTGGAGGTCCTAGCCTACACATTATTTTAATACGAGAAGAATTTTAATCCAAGCAATTATTGGAATCAGAAGAAATTCCGATTCCAGTAATTTCGCCATAGTCATACATGTAGTGTGTGATTTGGCAACGAAATGCAATAAGACAGATTATCTGTTGATGAATCTAGACTATTTTTTGAAGTTTTTGCATAATTTCAATTAAGTAAGTAGGTACTTTATACGCTGCTATAATGGGCTATTGGCAACGACATTTCATTTAGTTAGTTGCAGTATATTAATATTGAGAGTGATGAAGAGTCATATTTCTTAACATTATCATGGATTACATCACCTTTTTTTCATGAATATCATGATTCAGAGTGTGTTTTAGTGATTCATCTTTGTTCACCACTTAAATTTTCTAAAAAAGGGGAAAGAAAAAAATCAATAAAATATTTAAAATAAGTGAATAATCGGAATAAGCTTTTAATGCTGTCATAGTCAATCTACAAATTTCACCCTTAATAACCTAATAGTAAGAAATCCATCAAATACTATTTCTGTCTGAAAAGTTCTGCATGGTTTACAAGTGAATTTTTTGAACTTGAAATGAATTTTTAAGCTACAGACATAATCCAACAGTCACAAACGTTTAGTCTTCAATGAATAAATTTCATGCAAAAGTTGCAGAACTGTTTTCATTCATGTTGATTTATGTTTAAAATTGGACTTCTCAGGTCTGGAATGTTGAAAGTAAGTTCCATTGAAAAGTTTCAGTACAACTCCAAAATTAGCAGGGGAAAAAAATCACTTCTACCACTTAAAACAAAACTTAACACACACTAGTTTGTTGTAATACTAAGACTTTTTTCTATTAGTTTATCCATAAACTTATTTTGCTGAAATTACTTTATGATCATAAAAAGAAAAAAAATTAAATTTTATCAAGAATTTATATATGCTTTCTTGAATACATTTTAGGAATTAGGATATATATACACATACAAACAGCGGGGGGAAAAATATAATTTCCAATTGATAGTCCAAAATGATTCATGTTTAAGGATTTACAAATAACAGTTTTAAATATTTCAGAAAATCTAAATCAATATTATACTTAAAATAACTGACCTTTCAGATATTTTTATATATGAAGTTTAGAGAAGTTTGACTCTCCTGTTTTCCTCAAAAGTTTTAATAAAAAACCTTCTCCAAGACACTATGATAAAATTGCATAACAGCGAATGTCTTGAGGCAAATTAATTGTAGCCAGAATTAGGACTTTCTCGTACAGATAATTAATATACATTAAATCATAAATTGGGCATTTTTTGAATTTTCTCAGCAAATATTTTAAGACCCAGTCTCCTGTTGCAAATCACTCAGAATATGAAAAAGGGCAAAATGAATTAAAAAATTAGAGTAATGATTATTTAGAGCACCAAATACTTACATAGATTTAAAAAAAGCAATTTATTAAGTACTAAAGTTTCCTTTACCCAACTTTATATTACAATGCAATAATATTATATGCAACTTTATATTACAATTTCTTTTGAAAAAAAATTCTTTAAATAAAACCATTATACATTTAAAAGTAAAACAGTAAACTACAAATCCAAAGCTAATAAACAATAATTTTTTAAACATAATGAAAAACAAGGTAAAAGTACTCAAGTAAAAAAATTTATTATACATTTCCTGTACAATAAGTAATGATAAATATTGTATTAAATAAACCTAATGTATTTACAAATTAGAAAAATCAGTAATTATGTTGGCATAATTTGCAGTTAGAAAAAACCAAACTTATTGTTTTGAATAGATTTAAATGAAAAAATTTTGTACAATGTCACATTGTAAATGATATACATTTGTACAGTTCGTGATTGAAGAAGGTGAATAAAATAAGTCAGCTTTTTATGAAACACTACGTGGCAGTTGGTGGACTTAGCACATTTACTTTTCCTCTGCAAGGCCTCAAAATTTTAAAAATCATCATCAGAGTCAACAGCAGCTCGTCGTCGATCAAACTAAATGCATGAAAAAATTTATTAGTCTTACATGAATATTTATGGCTAAATTATTAAAAGCTTATGAACTTACATAACAAAAAAAAATTCAAATTACAAGGAAATATGAAGATTGACAGACAAATTAATGCAGAGTGATTACAAGATTAAAAAAAATATATATATACAAACTGGAAAATAGACACTAAGATGTGTTTTTGATGAAACTTGATAATGCTTAGAATAATCATCTAATAACTCCTCTTTTTTATTCTAAAAAATTTAACAGATTTTGCTATTTTTAATTTCTCCTTCATTGATAGTAATTCCTATAGTTTGTTTCTCTAAGGATCAATACAGCTAGTTTTCTGCGTATAAATAATAATTGACAACATCTACTGTAATATATATACTTTTGTCAGTTTAGTTATTTAGATGCCTTCAAAATTCTAGAAAATGGTTAAGTTTTAAATATTCGGGCAAGACAACACTGTTTTTCACTTTTTTAAAAATATGTTCTACAAATGTTTGATTTCACAAAATTAAAGGATGATTAATAGATTATTTCAGCATGGTTTGATATTATTATAATTCTGTTCTTGAAGATTTGATTTAAAAAAGTGGTTGGCTGCTTTTATGATCCCGTGATTTTATTAGCATAAATAACAATATTTTTACTTTCGTTATTTGNTGACTCAGCCTTTCATCCCTTCAGTGGGTCAATAAATGAGTACCAAGCATGCTTGGGAACTGAACACTGGGGGTTCTGCGTTCGGTTGACCACCTGACCAGAACATCTGCTCCTGCACCCCAGAGTCCAAGAAAACTGAGATGGGCACAGTAGGCCTTGGCTCTCTATGGGCTGTCGCGCCACAGAGTTTAGTTTTAGCTCATGAACTATATTTCTAAAGTGGGGTTCCGCCAAAAGATAACTCCATAATTTAGGGTCATAAAGCAGAAAAAAAAGTTTAATAACAGATAAAGAAAGTGTTACCTTCACTGTTGGAGTGTTTTGTTTAACTTGACGATTCACTTCCTCTAACAGATGAACAAATTCTTTGTCATCAAGCTAAACAAACAAATTAAAATATTAGCAATAAGCAGGAAATTCAAACTAAACACAGAACAAAAAGCAGAAAATTAATCATGATATTCAAAACATACAAAAAAGATTGTTATAGCAATATTTTTAAATTGTGAAATCATTCCTAATATCAAAAATTTTTTTAGAGAATGATATAAATTATAAATTTACATTAAAAGGCAAGAAATATTTTTGGGAATAAAAGTAATATTTTTGATCTAAATTTATTATGTCATAGTTAAAATTTTCCTATTAAGCAAATAAGCAATAATTTAAATAAAAATAGTNCATACAGACCACCTTCGTGGAGCCTTCTGCGCACAGTTGACGAACATTAAAATTCATAAATATTAAACAAATTAAAATTATAATTTTTGTTTAATAAATTTCTTTATTACTTTTTATTAGAAATTCAAAATAGAGAATTTCCTGATTTAAAGAATAAAGTTACAAGAAATTTTAAAAATGCTCATTATAAAAAAAAGATTCTAGTACTGTTGGCTCTATTTAAACAAATATCATCGGTTCTATACATAGTACCAGATATGGGATAACTTTATCTTCAGTACCAAATTGATTATGCTTCTCAAAACGTAATAATTAATCAGTAGAGTATCTCAAAATAAGTAATGCTATTCATAATTTTTAGTTAAAACTACAAAATAAAATAATAATTAAATATATAAATTACAGTACTATATACATTTCGAAACATGTATATACAGATTTTTTGTGTGAGGCACTTTCCTTTCATTACTTTTTGCACGAATTCCTGATTGTAGATTGCTTGTTCATACTGTATTGAAATGATTTTTGTAGGGTCTTGTCTTATTACATTATCTTGGCAAAATATTTGACTAAGATTGTATAGTATATTGCTGTATGTTGTATTGCTCTATAAGATTGTATCAAAGGGAAAATTTCAGACTAAAGGCTTTATTTTTGTAAACACAATATTTGTTTATAGGTTACCAGATTAAAACAGGACACAAAATTTTATAAAAAAACGTAAACTAACTTAAATTAATGTAAAATAACTAATTTAATAAGTATCTAATAAATAACTACTTGAAAAATATGAAATAACATTTTAAAAATAAAGTTATTCTTCACATGGTAATTGAGTCCTTTACCTGCGTTCTGATTTGGCCAGTACGGGCCATGTTGATTATCATATTTTCTAGCATTCTTCCATTTTCAGGTTTAGCAACAGATATAGTACTTACTAAAAGAAAAAAAAAACAAGATAGGCATAAATAACAAATCAAAATATTATTTACAAACTTGAGACTCACTAAACTACATATTAATAATCAATATAATATGTAATAATTATATTTATTATATAATATAACTATTATATTGATATAGATATAGTGAACTATTATAGTGAATATCAATAGATGTGAAATATCAAATCAACTACTCCATTGCTGTCGGAATTTATTTTGCTGTCCAATTGAAAATCAAAATTCGGATATCTTCCTCATTATAATTTGTTTTAGCACATAGATATGAGATTTATAAGCTTTCTTTTCTTTTTTATTAATATTTCTACAGAATAAATCAAATTATTTTTTGAACAACATACAAATATTAAATGGATTTTCAATGTGAATATCAATAGATGTGAAATATCAAATCAACTACTCCATTGCTGTCGGAATTTATTTTGCTGTCCAATTGAAAATCAAAATTCAAATATCTTCTTCATTATAATTTGTTTTAGCACATAGATATGAGATTTACAAGCTTTCTTTTCTTTTTTTTTAATATTTCGACAGAATAAATCAAATTATTTTTCTGAACAACATACAAATATTAAATGGATTTTCAATGTGAATATCAATAGATGTGAAATATCAAATCAACTACTCCATTGCTGTCGGAATTTATTTTGCTGTCCAATTGAAAATCAAAATTCAGATATCTTCCTCATTATAATTTGTTTTAGCACATAGATATGAGATTTATAAGCTTTCTTTTCTTTTCTTTTTTTTTTTTTTATATTTCTACGGAATAAATCAAATTATTTTTTTGAACAACATACAAGTATTAAATGGATTATAAATGTGGATATCAATAGATATGAAATATCAAATCAACTACTCCATTGCTGTCGGAATTTATTTTGCTGTCCAACTGAAAATCAAAATTCAGATATCTTCTTTATTATAATTTGTTTTAGCACATAGATATGAGATTTATAAGCNGAGTTTAATCTAAGGCTTATGCTTTCAAACATTTCACTTTTATTAGAGGTTTACTCAATATGTTAACAGTCAGACACCAAATGCATAAAAAGACTAAAGTATAATTACAAAAAAAAACTATAAAAAAAACTTTTTATAAATATAACTGGCAAACTAGCAAATATGTTCTTTAAGAGTCAAAATTTAAACTCCCCGCAATTATTTTTTTATGTTTTCATGTGCTATCATACGTAAAATATTGAGAGATATTTCTGATATCATCAAGCATATTACATAAAATGTCAATTAAGCTTGATTTTTTTCAATAATAATAAGAATCAAAAGACAATTTAAACAAAGCATTTTAATAAATATGATACAGTAGACAGAACTTATATTTAAATACTATCAGTAGAATTTTATTTAAACAATTTAAATATTAAACTACGGAATGAAAGAAAACAAATTTATATTAATTTACACATTATATTGTAACTATCACTATTTTTCTTTCTTTTTTTTTTTAAATTTAAGAACATTTGAAAACAAGAAACACACTACAAATATATACACTAGTAATATATATACACTAGTAAAACAAAATACAAATATATTAACAAAATAATATATACTAAAATAGGAAAAATAGAATATACTTAATTTAAAAAGAGATTGATTGATAATAAATAATTATTATAAAATGTGTACATATTTTGCAAATAAGGCTAAGAAAATATAAATCAGTCAAGAAAATTAAAACATAAATAAGGAAAAATAACTATTATTTCATTAATATAAATAGATCTTGTACAAAATAGGAACAATTCAAAGAAGCTTATGTGAATCTCTCATATCATCACAAATCATAGCTTTAAAATACAATTTAATGTCAAACTATAGAATAACCCATTAGGCAAACAAAATTTTCACCAAACAGTTTCCTAAGAACATATTTCACATGCAATATAATGAACTGATTAGTAAATAAGACAAAAATATACACTCACATCTACTACGAGCTTCTTTTGATAACACTTGGTTTAAAATATGATTTTTGAATTCTTCTTCTTTCGCTTTTTGTTCTTCTGCTGCAGCTTGATTTCCTTGAGGACCCTGAAAATATTCATTGAAATTAACAATCATTAACTTTTAAGCTAAATTTTAAACTTTCATTTTGCACATCAAATATTAATACATGTATGAACAAAAAATATTCGGATGTCCTAGTTTGTCATTTATCTGCAACGTTATTCTTAAAACCTTACAATTCTAAAACTATCGTAATTAATTTCTATAACTCATAGTATTTTTTATTTAGTAAATTTTATTCTACAATATTTCTTACTCATATAAAATTCTCTTCCACAACATTTATTGTACTATTGGTGTATTGTATCGGGTATATATATATATATATAATTTATTATTTGAGTACCATAGAAATAATATCCAAATACAATTTCAATCTAAATATTTCTATTTGAATAAATACAAGTTTTAATCTGAATTTTCTGTTTTTATTTCTGTTCTGAATTTTCTGTTTTCTGTTCTGCATCAAATATTTATACAGTCAATATTTTATTTTGCTTTCATCTGCAATATGGCTTCAGAACAAACTCTTGCATACACAAAGTTTTATTTCTAACATCTTTAAAAAACAGTCATTTTAGCTCAATAGTAAGTAACTCAACTTAAAACTTTATGTTAGATGGACCATAAATTGTTTAAATTAATTATTTTTATCCACTGTAGAAAGAATCAAAAAAATTTTTTTTGCTGATTTGTACAGAATAAAATTGTGTATAATAATCAATCATTAAATGAATAAATAACTTTGATTACATCCAAGCATATTACAATCATACATAAACTTGGTATTAGGTTAATATTTGCTTTCCCTCTTTACAGTTTTAGCAGTTAAAAAAAAATTCTGGCAACACTTCAATGTCCTGGCATTCATAAGCCAAAATTCGCCATTTTATAGCATATAACTTTACTTTAATTTCATATTTTGGCCTAAGACGTTTATAATTTGCAGAAAACAACAGGATTTCTTAAAATAACTCAGATAAATCTATGTAGTTTATGTTATTAATGATATCAAGAAGCCAGGAAAATGACAACACAAAAACCTACTCACCTTGAAAAAAATTTTTTAAATAGATTTTGAACCAGAAAATTGGTTCTTTATTCATGCAACAAGACATGTTCATATAGGAGGGTATCTAATATAGGAGGGTATCTAATCAATCTATTAACATAAGATATTGATTGCTGGCTCTATCTATTTTGGTTATAAAACACTAAATAAAAGTAGCCAGGAAAATGACAGATTTTCTTGGGACAAACAAGATATTGACAGAAAAAATTAATTTAAATGAAGTTTTTGTAAATAATACCCTCTGCGTATATTCTAGAAATGCTTACGGTTCAGATTTTAAAAAAATTAGATATTGAAAAATGTATGGGAAGTTTTGAAGCTAGTTATTATTGGAAACATTGTTTGAGACATGCCACAAACATTAAATTTTGAAATTAAATTAAATATTTTAGCTATACAAAACAATCAATGCTAGTGCAAAGTCATTTTAAAATGCTAACACCAATGTTATTTATAAATTTTTTTTTTAAAAAGTTCTTTTAGTATTAGATCTTGGAGCAAGGGACAGTGAATCGTCATATTTCATGAGAATCACTCATATATATATCCATAAGATATTTTTAAAGAAAAATAAGTGTTATAAACAATGCATTGCCATCACTAAATTAACAATACAATGATTTTAAATTTGTAGAGGTGAGCTGAAATTGATTTGTAAAGTATTAAACAAATTTGAGATGTGAAATATTAAAAACTTTCAATGTGAATATCAATAGATGTGAAATATCTTATCAACTATATTGTTGCTTTCGGAATTTATTTTGCTGTCCAATTGAAAATCAAAATTCGGATATCTACTTTATTATAATTTGTTTTAGCACATAGATATATAAGATTTATAAACTATTTTTATTTATATTTTTAATATTTCTACAAAATAAATCAAATTATTTTTTTGAAAATTAGGCACTTAAAATATTTATTTGAATTAGGTTAATAACATTCAATATACTATAAAATTGTTTCTGCTTCCTTGATTGTTTCACTTTGGAAACTGAGTTTAATCTAAGGCTTATGCTTTCAAACATTTCACTTTTATTAGAGGTTTACTCAATATGTTAACAGTCAGACACCAAATGCATAAAAAGACTAAAGTATAATTACAAAAAAAAACTATAAAAAAAACTTTTTATAAATATAACTGGCAAACTAGCAAATATGTTCTTTAAGAGTCAAAATTTAAACTCCCCGCAATTATTTTTTTATGTTTTCATGTGCTATCATACGTAAAATATTGAGAGATATTTCTGATATCATCAAGCATATTACATAAAATGTCAATTAAGCTTGATTTTTTTCAATAATAATAAGAATCAAAAGACAATTTAAACAAAGCATTTTAATAAATATGATACAGTAGACAGAACTTATATTTAAATACTATCAGTAGAATTTTATTTAAACAATTTAAATATTAAACTACGGAATGAAAGAAAACAAATTTATATTAATTTACACATTATATTGTAACTATCACTATTTTTCTTTCTTTTTTTTTTTAAATTTAAGAACATTTGAAAACAAGAAACACACTACAAATATATACACTAGTAATATATATACACTAGTAAAACAAAATACAAATATATTAACAAAATAATATATACTAAAATAGGAAAAATAGAATATACTTAATTTAAAAAGAGATTGATTGATAATAAATAATTATTATAAAATGTGTACATATTTTGCAAATAAGGCTAAGAAAATATAAATCAGTCAAGAAAATTAAAACATAAATAAGGAAAAATAACTATTATTTCATTAATATAAATAGATCTTGTACAAAATAGGAACAATTCAAAGAAGCTTATGTGAATCTCTCATATCATCACAAATCATAGCTTTAAAATACAATTTAATGTCAAACTATAGAATAACCCATTAGGCAAACAAAATTTTCACCAAACAGTTTCCTAAGAACATATTTCACATGCAATATAATGAACTGATTAGTAAATAAGACAAAAATATACACTCACATCTACTACGAGCTTCTTTTGATAAAACTTGGTTTAAAATATGATTTTTGAATTCTTCTTCTTTCGCTTTTTGTTCTTCTGCTGCAGCTTGATTTCCTTGAGGACCCTGAAAGTATTCATAGAAATTAACAATCATTAACTTTTAAGCTAAATTTTAAACTCTTATTTTGCACATCTTATTTTGCACTAATATTTATACATGCACGAACAGAAAATATTATGATGTCCTAGCTTGTCATTTATCTGCAACGTGATTCTAGAATGTGATTCGTAAAACCTTACAATTCTAAAACTATTTTAATCAATTTCTAACTCATAGTATTTTTTCCTTAGTAAATTCTATTCTACAATATTTTGTCCCACAATATTTCTTACCCATAAAAAATTCTCTCCGACAACATTTATCGTACTGTTGTGTTGGTGTATTGTACTGGTTATATACTATATATATCCTTTTTATTTCTTTGAGAACCATAGAAATATCCGAATACAATTTCAATCTAAATATTTGTATTTGAATAAATACAAGTTTTAATCTGAATTTTCTGTTTTTATATCGCATCAAATATTTATACAGTCAATATTTTACTTTGCTTTCATCTGCAATCTGGCTTCAGAACGAACTCTTGCATACACAAAGTTTTATTTCTAACTTCTAGTATTTTGTCTTTTTCTACTTTTTACAGTTCTTTTTCTAGGATAGCTCTGGAAATTCTGTTCCCTGATATGCCACTCGTAAAAAATCTGTCTCATGATATTACATGTTCTTGCGAAAGTTTACATCAGAATAGATCTTCAGAAAACAGCAGTTTATCAATTGCATCAGAATAGATCTTTTTCTGGTTACATCATCGCCATGAATATTTTATTCGTCTGAATGTGACTACTTTGACATATTAATGCTACTTTTAAATTAAAATTAGAATTGTTGTCACATTAACAAAACTTTTGTCTTTTTCTGACATTGCCTATGAAGAAAAAATACAGATACAATAAAAACTTGTTCATTTTTTTTTTCAGTTTCACGAAATTTTAACACAACTATAGTCCAGCTTTCAGGAAACTGCTACAACAGACACAAGAGTAATACCATTTTTAATGGTCGAGAATTGAAGAAATGGCACATCTATATTATAAGTAACCTATCTAAGTACAGTAACCTTGAGCCTAAAAGTTGGGTGTCTGGAGTAACACTTGGGAAGATATTTCCTTATCATCATCTGTTGCGGCAACTACAACCGCCAAGGCACCAAATGGATTTTAGACTTTACAATTTTTTTTTTTAAAAAAACATGTAGAGAATTGCTGGGGAGTGGCTACAAGTTATAACCTGTAAGTTTTATCCACTACAGTGATTTATTTTCTTGTTAATTCCTGTACGGAAGTTGCTAAGACTAGGGAAATTTCTGTATCGTAATCTGTGGCAGAATAATCGCCAAGTCTCGGGAACTTCCGTGCAGTGGCCCACGAGAAAGTAAAAAAAAAAACATCACAGAAAGGGACCAACTCGAAAGGTATATCTTGTAGCCATCCCCGGGAAAACATCAACACGTTTTTCAATAAAAATTTTGAGAGCTTAAAACCTATTTGGCACCTTGGCAAATCTAGTTGGCGGCACAGATCACAATACAGAAATATCCCCCTAAGACTTGGCAATTATTTACGATACGAGAATTTTCCCGTGCTAATTAAAGATGGAGAGTACTTTCATTATTCATATATTTATTATACTGCTGCACATCTTGAGCTTAAAAATTATATTATTAAGCAAACCTAAATAATTAAGCAAAGAGATAAAATAATTGATAACAATAAGACATGAAAGCTAAATATGTTGTAATCTAAATTGTCAATTTAAATATCTTTAACATAAAAAATATAAACAGGTGAAGATATGGAAATATTTCCAGAAAAGCTCAATTTTTAAAATAAAAATGTGAATGATTAGCTTTCAATCAGAAAATTGATCTATTATTAGATTACAATTATAAAAAGTTGTGTAGAAAAAGCTTGTAAAACAAGTTTTAAATTCTAATTAACCAACAGAAAATATTTATCACAGCATTTGTCGCATCATACATACGGCATTTCTCTGTCCTTGTAGCTCAGCCATCCGTTTGGCTCTTAACATTTGCAATTCCTCGTCTTCCATTTTCTTATTAGCAACCTATTAACTATTGTAATCAAGTAAAATTATTTAATAAACACAACGAATTTGTCGAAAACTAAAATTTAGTAGCAATTTTTCTGGGAGCAGACAAATCCAAATATGGAGTGTGAGTTGAAGTTTAATTTCCGAACTTTAATGAATAAATTATTTATGAGGTTATAAATTTATTTTTTACATGTTATTTGTAAATTAATATATTTTTCCTAATGATAAACTTTTTCTTATTTTATAAAATATTAAAAATGTCTTTAAGTATTAAAGTATGACTCCTCACTGTTTTTTAACTGTAACTTTACTGGGTAAATTGTTTATTTACATTTTCATCAAGTACCGACTGCTCTGGCACTGAAAATCAGGACCCTAACTATTTAAATTAAATAATTATCAATAATTTTATGACATAAATAAATTGCAGATATTTTAAACAATGGGAGTATTAGGACTCTGGCAATTATTAGCTCCCGTTGGCCAGCCAGTTACTCTAGAGTCATTAGAAAATAAAATCTTTGCTGTGGATATAAGTATATGGCTAAATCAAGCTTTAAAGGGTTATAGAGACTCCCAAGGAGGATCTGTACCAAATGCTCATCTTCTTAGTTTATTTAGTAGGTTATGCAAATTGCTTTTTTATAAAATAAGACCTGTAATAGTTTTTGATGGGGGTTTTCCTGAGCTAAAACGACAAACCATTATAAACCGTCAACAGCGAAGAGCAGAAAGTAAAGCAAAGAATAGAGACAGAGGTTTAAAAATTTTAACTAATTATTTAGCGTCTCAAAATCTGGCTGTTGCAGGCGGAAGTGGCTCATCATCTCAGCAAATTATTAAACCTAAAGAAAAGGCACGAGATGAAATTTTTAAATTGCCACCAATACCCGAACCAGCATTAGATGGAGGCTACGAAACATCCGATACTGATTTGATAGAATGGAAATTTACTAATTTTAGTAAAGAGGATATAAAATACTTGAATCAAATCGACATAAATTCTGAAGATTTTGATAATCTTCCTCCTGATGTTAAACAAGAAATTTTGAGTACGTTAAAAGAAAGCAGGAAACATCGAACATGGGAACAATATGTCGAACTTCCTGAAGAATCCAATGAATTTTCAAAGTATCAGATGCAGTGTTTACTTAAAAAGCGAAACTTGTCTAAGAAATTAGAAGAAGTTCAAAAAGATTTGAGAAAAGTCAATTCTGCTGATTTTATTGCTCAGTACACAAATGATCATGTGGTTGGTGAAACTAATAAAATCATGTCTGATGATACTTCACATTATGTCCTATTGAAAAAAATCATACACAAAAAAGAAAAGTCAGCTGATCAAGAATTAAATGAAGATACTTTAAATGACTCAATGGCTGAAACAAAAAACACTTTCATTAAAGATATGGAAAATATTGATGTAGATAATTTAGGTGAATATGAAACCATAACTATTAAACAGAAACAAGATAATAAAATAAGTGCTACTAGAAATGAGATTGAAGTGAAACAAGAAAGTTGTTTCTTTGATAATTATAGTGAAGAAGATGTTGATGATCCAAAAGAAATCCAACTTCTAAATACTGAAGATTTGTCATCTGTAACAGCTTCATTGCCTCTGAAACCAAAGAATGTAGAAAAGCAAAGTTATGAAACCATTGAAGATATAGAGTCATTTTTATCTAACCCTAATTGGGAAACAACTTTAAAGTCTGATAATATAACTGAGCAAAATAACATTCCTGGTGATATTACTGAAAAACATAACATTTCTAGTGATGTCACTGAACAAAATATTTTTGACGATGCAACACAGAATGTCAAAGTATTTAGTGATAATCATGTTTTGAATTCAAACTCTCAAAAAGAAACTTCTAATTCTAAAGCAACTACACTATCTGCTATGCAGAACATTATATTGGAAAATAACAAAGATTTAAATTCTATTCCTCATCAGGAAGTCTCAAAAGAGTCTGATTGCAGCAATATTTTTGGTGATTCAATAACTTCTGAAAGCAAACTGAAATCACCATTGAAAAGTATTCCTTCAAACTTGAAAAATAATACTATTGATATTTGTTCCAGTGAGGATGAATTGATACCTTGTGATGAAGATCAAGAATCGGTTGCAAGCAATGTTCCCGCAAGAAACACGTTCATAAATGAAAAATTTATTGATATTTCTAGTAGAGAGCAACATATCTCAGATAAAACTTCTGTTGAAGAATCTCTTTGTGGCACTGAAAGTAAAAGTTCTATATTAGATGATCCTGAAAACTATTCATATGATGAAAATGTTTTACCATCCACATCCAAAAATAATTCTCTTTCAAAAGAAGAAAGAGAAGCTGCCTTAATGCAATTGCAAAATGATCTAGAAACTGCCACTGCAGTTCTAGAAGCTGATCAGGCAAAAACAGACAGGCAGAACAGAACAGTTCAAGAACATATGGTAGAAGAATGTAAAGAACTTCTTCAACTGTTTGGAATCCCGTACATTGTGAGTCCCACTGAAGCAGAAGCTCAGTGTGCCTTTTTCGATTCTGCGAACATGACTCATGGAACAATTACTGATGATAGTGATGTGTGGCTCTTTGGTGGCAAAAGAGTGTACAAAAACTTTTTCACTCAACAGAAATATGTTGAATTTTATAAGGACATTGAAGTGTTCAACCATTTCAACTTAAGTCGCAAAAAGCTAATAAATTTTGCAATGCTAACTGGCAGTGACTATACTGAAGGCATTGATGGAGTTGGTCCAGTGACTGCGATGGAAATCTTGAGTGAGTTTCATGGAGAGGATATTGAGGTATTGCGTGATTTCAAAGAATGGTGGACAAATGCCAATAAAAATATTACCACTCCTGACAATAAAGTTCGCTCAAAGCTGAAAAAACTAGTTCTTGATTGGAATTTTCCTGATGAAAAAGTGTTTGATGCTTATCTAAATCCAGTTATTGATCACTCTACTGATAAGTTTACTTGGGGTCGACCTGATTTGGACGCTCTACGGGAGTATACTAGAGAACGATTTGGATGGAATAAAATTAAAGTTGATGATGCTTTGCTACCTGTTATTAAAAAGCTTAATGAAAGGGAGTCCCAGACTCATTTGGATAGTTTTTTTACTGTTAATTTACAAAAACAAACTAATTTATTTCCAAGCAAACGTATAATGTCTGCTTTAAAGAAGATGACATCACCAGAAAGCAAACAACTTGATAAAAAAGAAACAAAATGCACCAAGAGAAAATCTAATGCTTCCAAAAAAACTACAGCTAAGAAACTAAAAAAAAAATCGACAGCTAAGGAAATAAAGAAAAAGCCTAAAGTTCAAATTCAGGGACCTGTTTTAAGTGAAGAAAGTTCAGATGATGAATAAAAGTTTAAAAACTTTTCTTACTGTTACAGATGGGGTGTAAAATAAAGTCAAATAAAAAAATGCTAAAATTCAATCTGATCTATATTGACTATTGCAAGATCATTATATTTATTAAAATTGTGTATATTTGTTTATTTATTGTTTTTCAAGCAGAAAGTAGTTTTTAAAAATTTTTATTTTTTTTATATAAATTATGCTTGTAACACTGAAATTTGTTGTTCAATGAAAATGTCTCTACAAAAATGTATGTTCCATTTTTTAAGGGGGAAAAAGTTTTAAGTTTTCTAGCTTAAAAAAAAAACACAAATACTTTTTATTCTGACATATTTATTCAATAATAGATCTGCATCTAATATATTTCATTATATTTGATACACTGTCTAATAAATTTTATATTCTTATTAATTTATTTTATATTTCTAACAAATTTCTAATATTTTGGATTATTTATAGACATTATTCTATTAAAAATTATCAGTCATATTTTTTTATTTAAATTTAAATTTGGTTCAATAGTTTTAAAATTTGTAAACAATAGTCCCTAAAGTGTATAAATAGTTTTTTTTATTTATTCTCTATTGTTTGCATGTTTCATTTATTTTAAATATTTATAAGTTTATATTGGGGAAATATGTTATGGCGAAATACAATTTTGTTGCCCTTTGAATTTTTTTCAATGACTATTCTTCTAATAATTTAATTATTAATTCCTTCTATAAATGAAAAAATAATTAATTTTTGATTGGACATTTGACGTATGATTTCTCTGATACATTCTTTGTAATCAAAATTTTAAGCTCAGTGGTCGGATAGATTTAATTTTGATTTTTTATACAAACCTGACGAATTAAAATTGACTTGTTTCTCGGCTGCATTGTTTGTAAATTATAAATTCAATGTTAAAGTTAAATATTAATTTTGCTAGCTGATTAATCTTTAGTTCAAACTATCTTTTAAACCTTGTTATTATTTTAAACTTTATTATAATTATAATGAACTATGGCACAAACCTCCTTTAGGAAGTTGTGAATTTTTAATAAATAAACTCACGGAACTGAAGTGGTAAAATATTACTTGATTTAAAACTTCATTTGCTTCAAAAAATTACAAATTGGAAATAACAGCCAACATGTTTCAAACACCCCAAAAAAAAAAACACTCTTTTTTTTTTTTTTTTCGATCACTTGAAACATGTCGTTATTTCCAATTGGAATTTTGGGGAGTAAATGACGTTTTTAAACAAGTAATAAGTTGTGAATTTGTTATTAATCTGAGATATTTATACAAACTGTAAGAAAATAGCTTCAGTTTGCTAATTTAAATCAGCAAGTAAAATTACTCATTTTTGCCTGCTTTCATCATTTACAAGTCAACAGTGCAATCCAGTTTATCTGTAATTCTTTTATTTAAATTTTCAATTATATCTATATCATCAGACTGCGCCCAATGATATGAATTCTCTTAAAATAATTTAAAATATACATTTCAGAAAATTTAATTATTTTTAATGTGTAAAAATGACTGTATTACATATTTTTAAGATGTATTTTAAATATTCATTGAGAAATTAAACTTTTTACAAATCTTCACCATATGTTTAATATAGATGTTCTTATATGACTGTGCCTTAATAATATTTATACATCAAATATATACTTTAATTTATTTGCTACTTAGATCATTTTTTATATATATAATGTAAGAATCATTTATTGTAAAATATTGATTTTCTTGTTTTTTTTAGAAGTAAATGTTATATTAATTTATTTTAAAATTTTATATTTGCCTGCTTAAAGTATATTATAACTTATTATTATGTTATATTTACATACTTTAATCATCTTATAAATAATCATCTTATAAATTTTTATTTTGTTTTGTGTTGTTAATGTTCTTTTGTACCGTTTACACTTACTTTCAACTATTCAGAAATGAAGTTTGGTTTTTACACAGGGGAATCGACGAAAACTGTAAAATACAATATCTGTATCCTTTATCATTTGTTCTTGTACGTATTACATGTTTTTAAAGTTTTTTTTTTTAACTCATACTTAGAGGAATTAGACCAACCCTTTTGACCATTTATATAAAATTTTGATTTGAAAATGCGTGGAACTTATTGTGAGACAACTTCTGTAGTGTATTATAACTGTAATTCCTGTTTTTATTTTTTTTTTTTCTTCTCTCTTGAAAAGTTGAATGGATGATGGTTCTGAATGACATTTTAGTGAATTTGAATAAATTAGCTTTAAAGTTTGACAGCGTTAGGAAATTTTTATTGAATTTATTTATTATTCACAATCTTTCAATTGGCAAAACTTCTCTTACACTCTTTTAAATTTTTTACATCCTAGAGTTCTCAGTCTTTGTGTTTTAATTTGCTGCCAAAAGAGAGGCTTTCTAAGATTTCTCATTGACTATTTGTTTCTGAATGCACTTGGAACTTTCTTTCACGGAGATTTGTAGATTTTAAAAACCTGAAAAAATAAATGTTGTATAATTAAATTTGATTAAAATAAGATTTTTTTTCCGAGAAATCTCAAATTTTTCAAAAATGTTACTACCCCACTAAGCTTTTCAATAATACCTACTGGGTTTAAAGAATATCATACTTGTAAGAAACACTAAATATTTGATGTATCCATACTAGTTATGAATTCTAATTTTACACTTGTTAATTTATTTAATTATCTGTTTATAAATTTTTGTTGAATTTCCTATTAACAATACAATTATAGTTTGAAAATTGTATCAAACAATGTATGTATGCTTCCCATTATTGCAAATTTTTTTAAAAGTTTCAATAAATAGTTTTATTTTTTACCTTGTTTTATAGATTTTTTTCCCACAGTACTTTTTAATTTCTAGGGTGTCTACAAAAACTGCCAAATTATTATTGACTACATTGATGCTCGATTAATTGTGGAAATCCTGGTATTGTAGTAATTGGTACTACTCCATTAATTAATTAAGTATCACAAGGAACAATTATATATTGCCAATTTTTAATGACTCTTGCAAATTGAATAGTATTTAAAATAGTAATTTTTATTTACAGTTTTTTAATATTATATTTTTAGGGTAAATGGGAAGGAAAAAAATACATGTTTGTGTTTTAAAATTTTATTTTTCCTATTTATGTTTAAATTTTAATGTTCAAAGTAAAATGATTTTGCATTATCTCTGTTTTTATTTCATTTTAGGCTTATTCTTAAACATTTCAAAAATGTTTAATGTAGGGAACATGTAACATTATATTTATTATGGTTAGCTCTTTTGTTTTATTCTTTTATTTGAGTTTTTTTTTTTTAAATTTAAAAGCCATAGGTTTCAAACTAGTTTAATCTTGTGCTTGCTGAACCCTTTTATGCAGAATTTCTATTAAACATATTTTTCGTGTATTTTCATTATTTATATTAATCTCGGAAAAAATAATTGAAAAATATTGTATTTAGCAGTTTAATAATTTATGGTTATAAAATACAGTAAGAAACACTGGTGTGTGTGTGTGTTTTTTTTTGTTTTTTTTTTCCTGCATTAAAGGTAAAATTTTCCGAAAACGGTTCAGTTCCAAGCAGTAATTTTTAAAATGTGCACTTATTTACATCTAAGAGAAAGCATTTTTCATCATTAAAATTTCTTTAATTTACACAATCAATTATTGATAAATTATTAAATATGAATGGAAAAAAAATTTTCAACCTACTTTTTCTAGGATTTTATAATTTAGTACAAATGTATTTCCGATTATATAACAATATTTTTTTATTAACTGTTGGACTGTTTTTTTATGATAAAAAAAATACCAAAATATATTTTTCCTTGTCATTCGGACATCAGAAAAAAATATATATATAAAAGGGATACCGGTGTACCATCTGCATCACAGAGTTAAGCTTAATAAATATATAACCTATTGACTTTTTTTTTACTTCTATAGAAAGCTAAGCTGATAAAAGAAAAGTATTTGCCTTTTATTTATTATGCTATATTCTTTCTCTGAAAGTTAACTTGCTATTTAATTGAAAAGAGAAAGCTTTCATACTTACCTCTTTATTTTTCTTTTGAGAGAAATGGGATGTTTCCAAAACTATATAATTAAAGCAGTTATAAAAGAAATTTCCAGTGTGGTGATGCACAACCATTTGGAAAGGAGGACCCTTGGTTAAATATTTATGCTTTTGAGGTCGGCAATGTGAGAACTTGTTTTGTCAATTAAAAGCAATTTAATTTCTCCTATGAAAACAAACCAAACTTGTTCAATTTTCTAAAAAAGCACAGTCCCGCAGTTGACTGATCGTTAAGACACGGTTCCCAGCAGATCACCGAAGTCAAGCATCACTGGTTACGGTCAGTGTGCGGGTGGGTGACCACTTGGATCAGTCTGCGTAGGGACCGAGGGTGTGCGGTATTGGTCCTCGTTAAACTGTTCTACCGTAAAGTGCTCGACTTCGCGTGCAGGTCGTCGGGCTACCGAAGCGGGGGTGCCATTCCCTCTGCAGAGGATCAAAATTGTGATGGCATGTCTTCGGATCATCCTCAGGGATGTTTCCCAGACCGTCGCCAATAGCCCATTGTGCAGCTGTAGTGCGACGTAAATGAACTACAACAACAATAAAAAAGCACAGATTTATTATTCTACTTAAATTTTTAAAAAAAATAATTAATATTTATAAAACATTAGCATGTAAAAAATAATGAAAGAGCTTGCACACATTATTATTTTTTTTTAAATGAAATTAGACATTTCTCTTTGTGAAATAATTTTAATGTTTTGGACAAAAAAGTTTCAGTTACACCTACCTTTTGTTCGCAAAAATCTTTGAACATTATTTGTTTTCATGACTAAAAAAGTTTTCTTTAAATGATTAAAATATGGTTTGTAAATTATAATTTTTTTTTCTTTCATTTTGGACAGTTGGTCAGATTACAGAAAAGGTTTGAAAAAAATTTATAAAATTTTCTTAAGCCACTTTAATTTTTTTTTTCATTCATAAGGCTAGGGCAACCATTCGTGGGTCATATGTGACCCCTGAGTTTGAAGCTAGATCAAAGGTTGCCACCATATCAGAGGTTTTGTTGTCACAATTTATATGAAGACCCCAGAAGAAGAACAGTTTATGTCCATAAAAGCTGATTCGGAAAATAAAGGATATTCCACAGCGCGGCTCAACTTCACTGCATCATAACTTGCGGAGAGTCAGTTTTTTCACTGATTTGACGCAATTTAGCAATTCTCAAAATGCACAGATAA